GGCTTGGATTTCTATACGCTTCCTAAGACTTCATTCTGACTGAGCTGCTGTGTTTTATTTTGCTGCTTGTATCTGAGACTCTATGGTAGAATGTTTGCTCTGTGCCATGAATTCAGTTGTTAGCAATCATCTTGTCAAAATTAACATGTAAATTAAACACATTTGTGGAATTCACTTCCTGAAGGATATTCAGGTGATTATGTGTATGAAGAAAATAATTTATTTTGTAAACTCTATATCACACACTTGCTTAGAAGTAGTAGCATACTTTTGCGAGAGTTACAAATATGCTAAATCACATGTGCAACATTTTAGTATTTGGATGGAAAATATGAACTTTCTTAAACACATTGACAACCTATCTTAGAACCACCTTTCTGTCGCTGAATTTTTTACTTTCTTCCTGTGTGTCATTTACTATAACTAGGCTAAAGAGACTGCTAGTTAATCTTCTAGGCATTTACTTTCTCCTGAAGATCATTTTTATTCTATCAATTTCCTTTACCCCTTATGTTTTATACGTGAGTGTTTTACTCTGAAACCTCTCTTCTAAAACACGAGCAAACAGTAGAGTTGTCTTCTCAAGCACAGGTCTCTTTCCCATATTTTTGAAGTAGGACTTGCTATGTTGAGGACATTTTGGCCTCTTCACTGACTGTAACATGATCTCTATGCTACAGTCTCTGGTTTTGTCTCCAGGCCACCTACTGTGCTCTCGTAGCATTCTTTGGTTAGAGGCCAAACTAGGTAGAATCTGGACACAAGCATCCACATCCTCTCTTACCTAATCCTTGGGACACCCCCACTCATTTTACTTGCTCATCCATAGAGAAACGTTACACTGGTTGATTTTCCTTCTTGTCAGGGAATGTATGCTTTGTGTCAGGGAAACACGCATACAGATGTTTGACTACATAGGCACAACCTACAGACAGGAATGATGGCATTCATTTGAGCTGTTACTTTGTGGTCTTGTGAAAATTCTCTCCTCTGTTGGTGATAGATCTAATTTAAGTTTTCTTTCTTTCCTTCTTTCTCTCTTTCTCTTTCTCTCTCTCTTTCTTTCTTTCTTTCTTTCTTTCTTTCTTTCTTTCTTTCTTTCTTTCTTTCTTTCTTTCTTTCTTTCTTTCTCTCTCTCTCTCTCTCTCTCTCTCTCTCTCTCTCTCTCTTTCTCCCTCTCTTTCTTTTTCTTTCTTTCTTTCTT